CTATAAAATGTCAAGAACTAACTCAAAATAGTGGGTGAATAACATGAAAAATCATGTGTAAAAATGAACCGAACAGATACTGAGTTTGAAGAATTGGTTGAGCAAGCATCTTCGATTTGTGACAAATACGATATTACAATTCCTACCATGGATGAGGAATATGTAATTCCAGGGAGATCACGGCGTAATGCTCCAATGAAGACGAATTATCATCGTTATCGTGTGGAGATCTTTATTCATGCAATTGATGGGCAACTTGCGAAATTAAATGATCACTTCAACGAGGTAAGTACTGAGTTACTTACTTGTTTGGCATGTGATCGGTGCATATTTACATATCATTTTGTACCCTTCTAGCTTATGATTTGGTTATGTTTTTGAGTTAAACTTGTGCTTTTAATCCTTTTTGTGTTTATCTTTCAGTTCATTGAGCTTTAGGTAATAATGAGGGCTTTGGATAGTAAATGATGCAATCCATGCATGTTAGGGCCTAATTTGGATGAATGGATGAAGAGCTTAAAGACAAACTCAATTTTGGCTACAGTCCCCTGCCAGCTCAGTTTCGTAGGTCATATTGCAAGCTTTGTTTCAGCAACCTACATAGCTCGGATGAGGCCACATTCTTCATGAAAGTTGTTCCAATGGGTGTGTAATATAACATATCCAAAATTCAGCCCCATTGGATAAATATGGAGTCTGTTACCTAGCAAACACAGAGCCATGCTCAGGATGGATTTTATCAGCGCGCAAAATGAGTTAGCAATTTGTTTTGGCCTTAACTTCCTTCTCCGACCTTGGATTGGCCCAAATGATATATAGATGGAAAGAAGACATTCTGAACTTCAAGTTGGAGTGCTTAAAGTCTTAATTTGCTTCAGGGAAGCCCAATTCGTAAGCCCTTGAAGTTGCTGGTCATGCTGACCTCAGGATGAGCTATTATTTCTGGTTGGAAGCTTGGTCATGGTGACATGAAGATGAGCTAGGGCTGCTGGTGGGATCTATTGGTGAAGGGCATCAACCAATTCA